CTCTGCTTACCACCATGGTGAGCAAAGTCTTGCTAGCACAATTATTGGAATGGCACAGGATTTTGTGGGCAGCAACAATATCAATCTTCTCAAACCAAATGGTCAATTTGGTACTCGTAACTTGGTGAGGCGAACCTGCAGAATAAGCATTTTTTGCAGTATTCACCATGTTAAAATTTTTTTCACCATGTTAAAAATTTAAAATCTGTACTTATGTAATTTGCTTTTACAGGGTGGTAAAGACCATGCAAGTGCCAGATACATCTACACTGAGCTAAGTCCGGTTACTCGATGTCTCTTCCATGAGGATGATGATAAACTTCTTGAATATTTGAATGAGGATGGGAAGTCCATTGAACCAAATTGGTACTTGCATTAACCTTTCTTTCTAAAGGCTGTTTTTGTTTGTGATTAGTGACAATTAAGTATCACCATATATGTTGAATTAATTAGATTTTTGCTTGTCACCACAGGTATATGCCTATTATACCTTTGGTTCTTGTCAATGGAAGTGAGGGAATTGGGACAGGTTGGAGTTCTTACATTCCCAACTACAATCCACGGGAAATTATTGCCAATGTTAGACGATTGTTGAATGGTGAGGAATTAGTGCCGATGGATCCATGGTACCGAGGGTTCAGAGGTACTATTGAGAAAAGTGCCAAAGAAGGTGGCTATATAGTCAATGGAACTGTGACTGAAATAGATGAACAAACATTCAGAATCACAGAGCTTCCTATACGTAAGTGGACTCAAGATTATAAGCAGTTTCTTGAATCCATAACTGATGGGACGCCTAATGTCAAGGATCCTCTCATCGAGGTAAAATGAACTGGGCATTTACTTACCATAAACTCAAATAGTTAATTTGTATCTCTCTGTTCATTTGAATTTTTGTTTGTTTGCAGGATTTTAGGCAAAATGGGGATGATGCAATAGTAGACATTGAAATTAAGATGAAGCCAGAAAAGATAGCTACAATCCTGCAAGAAGGATTATTCAAGAAATTCAAATTGACTAGCACTATTAGCACAAGCAACATGCACCTTTTTGATGCAGAGGGAAAAATTAAGAAATTTGACACTCCCGAACAAAGTATAACCCTCACAATACATATTTGTTTTGAATCACAATGTCTACAATGTTTTTTATACTTACTGTTTTGTTCCATTTTTTTGTGCAGTTCTTGAAGAGTTCTTTCCACTTCGGCTAGACTATTATGAGAAGAGAAAGGTGGGTTAGGATGGCAGTGTAGTCTTTCTTTTATATTCTGTACCTTTTTAATGTGAACTAAAATGCAAGTTGTCTTTCTTTTATATTCTGTACCTTTTTAATGTGAACTAAAATGCAAGTTGTCTTTCTTTTATATTCTGTACCTTTTTAATGTGAACTAAGTTGTGCATGTATGCAGGAATACATATTGGGAAACCTTAATCGACTATTGTTGATTTTGGATAACAAAGTCAGGTTTATATTAGGGGTTGTGAATGGAGAAATTATTGTGAGCAACCGGAAAAAAGCTGAATTGTTGATTGAGCTGAAACAGAAAGGTTTTACTCCCATTCCAAGGAAAGGTAAATCCGTCAAACCACAAGTTGCAGGGGCAAATGATGATGATTCAGAAGAACAGGAAGATACTGAGCTCGAAACTGGATCTCAGCCTGTCAGTGTTGAAGGAGCAACATGGGGTGACTACGAGTATCTTTTATCCTTACCTATTGGAACTTTGACTCTTGAAAGTGTGCAAAAGTTGCTTGATGAAAAGACTCAAAAGGAAAAGGAGTACGAAATTTTGTCTGGAACACCAACAACTTCACTGTGGTTGAAGGATCTAGATGAGTTTGAAAAGAAACTTGATGTGAGAGACCATTGCTGAATTTGTTTTGTAATTGAATCAATGAAGGTCTATATTAATTATCTTGTTCCGTATTTCAGGAGCTAGATAGTAAAGAGGCAGAAGATGATCGGAAGAGAGCAAGCCAAGGAAGTAAAAAAGCAAACGGTTTTGCTTCAAAACCTACAAAGAAGCCTCCACAACCACGAAAGAATACTAAAAAGACCAAAAGTGCTGAGCCAGAGAATGATAATTCTTCCATGGAAATCGGTAAGCTTGAGTTGGTTTATTATTATTTTTCATTAATATTATATGTTGTCTGTACGCTTTTGAATTTTGTTATCCATTTGGGTATGAACTTTTTTGATTTGAATTATCAGAGAATGCTGTTGAAGTTGCAAAACCAGTTGAGGTAGCAAAACCAAAAGGACGAGCAGCTTCAAAGAAGAATGTCCAAAAGGTAAATTGCTGATTTTCTGTAGTGCATTGTTTTACACTGAATCATGTTTAAACCCTTACGTTTTCATAATATGCCTATCATCAGGAAGCTGAAGATGATATTCAATCTCTTCAAGAACGCCTAGCTGCGTATAACTTTGAATCATCTGGCGAAAAGTCACAAGGTAAATATTTTTGGGCTGAAGTAGTTAAATATGTTATGAATCTTCAAATCAATTGCCATATTAGTTATCTAGTGTATAATGTTACACATGCTGAGTACTGAACTTGCTGTTTTCTTCCACAGCAATGGAAAGTGGAGAAGTACAACAGAAGGCTGCTGGGAAGAAACCGAATAACAAAAGGGGTGGGGCAAAAAAGAAGTCAAGTGCCATAGTGTTGGAATCAGATAGTGATAATGAAGTTAATGATGTCGATGACGACGACGATGACGACTTCGAAGAAGTACAACAGAAGGCTGCTGGGAAGAAACCGAATAACAAAAGGGGTGGGGCAAAAAAGAAGTCAAGTACCATAGTGTTGGAATCAGGTAGTGATAATGAAGTTAATGATGTCGATGACGACGACGATGACGACTTCGAAGTAGTACAACAGAAGGCTGCACCAGTTAATAAGGGAGGGAGAAAGCCTGCTGCTCAGAATGCCAAGAAGGCACCTGCAAAGGCACCTGCAGCCCCTAAGAAACGAAATGTAGGCACTAAACAAACGGCTGGTCAAAAATTATTAACTGATATGTTGCAGCCAGCGGAAGGTACAGGTACTTCCCCAGAGAAGAAAGTGAGGAAGATGAGGGAGTCTCCATTTAACAAGAAAAGTGGTTCTATACTGGGCAGGGCTGCTGCTAAGGATATAAGTCCAATTGCAGATATGTCTGCAGGTTCTGCTTCTAACTCTCCTGTTTCAGAAGATGATGTGGTTGAGATTGCACCACAGCCGGCAAGGGCGAGACCTCAGAGGGCAAATCGTACTCAGATGAAATATGCAGTGAGTGAATCTGAGAGTGAAGATGATTCTGATGAGGATGCGGAATTGTCAGATTTTGAAGAAGATGATGACTAGACTATTTCTGTTATATGCATTAGTGAAACTAGATGAATGCTGTGTTAATGTGCTGTAGAATATTGATCTGTGTCTTGCAGATTTGCGTTTCTTATTTGATGACTCTGAACTCATTAGTTTGAATGAAAGATATTTCTGTTATATGCATTAGTGAAACTAGATGAATGCTGTGTTAATGTGCTGTAGAATATTGATCTGTGTCTTGCAGATTTGCGTTATTTGATGACTCTGAACTCATTAGTTTGAATGAAAGATATTTCTGACTCTAACGATAGTTCTTCTATTCCATGTGGATTTGCATCTAAATTTCTGTTTTATATGTTTTGCAGTTTTATATTCTTTTTGTTACTTCAGCATTTGCAATTTTCAGTACTGCGTCACTGTTCAATTTAGTGCCATTTCAAATTTTTAACCCAACACATCACAGTAGCTCACCGTTTTTTGCAGCTTATGCAATAGGTTTTGCAAGTTTTATTTCTCCATTGATAAACTTACTTCCACTCTTTCTTTTGCTATTCATGCTTCAACTTTTCTAAATCATTACCTGTATATATTTCAAATTCACACAACAGGTTCCTATTTCTCCTTTAAGTCTATGTTGTTGCATGATCAAAATTGAAACCGTCATTGTGAAAGCTGGTCCTGAAAGAACATAGCCTATAGCTGAAAGAACACCACAGCAATCTTGTTCCATATGCCGATTGGCTTCTTCCAGAGTTGCTTTGAGGTGGGTGTAAGATCACTACTATGATAAATTGACTCATATAAAACATGGTACCTACCATCAAGATAGACACTACGGTGAATCCTACTAGAAAATACATCCTTTGTCTTCCCTTGATCCCCATCGCATATGACATGGACTCTTCAAGGTTATACCACCTAGTAAGGATAATTCTATCATCATCACACATATCAACTTTGGTCAAAGGAATAACAGCCACCCCAATTGTCGCGTCCTTGTTGGATCCAACACAGTTTTCAATAGAAAGGATCAAAGGTTCATCAAAGGGTTCAGCAGCAACAAACATCGGCTCCTGATCCCATTGCATATTTTTTGTCCTTGACTGAACCAGTTTTGTCATTAAGATCTGGTGACCAGTCTGCACCTTAACATAGGCATCAGAGAACAGAGATTTATCAGACATAATTAAATCTTGTGTCTCAACCACTCTATCCTCCCGCACATACCATAATCTTGGTGAATGATAAACTTTTGATCGCATTTGATAATGAGAAACTGAAGAGTTTTCTTCGGGAAAGAGTGTATCAGAATGCCAAGACCATAGGTATTGGATGATCTGTTCCCACGAATAACTCACCTGCCAATTACTTGTCCATCTCCAAGAGAAGGACTTGTCAATGAAGTCTCTCTGAGACGAACCTTACCAAGAAAGACTTTGGAGTTATTGCTTTTGTTATTGTTGTGGTAGACATATGCATCAAGTGAGAGGCTCGGTATATATCAAATCAACGAAGCGGATTATCTATTGCTAATTATACATCATTTACACATTTCTGAATCATTACCTGTATATATCGCAAATTCACACATGTTTTCTATTTTCTTGATGCTGCTACATACAATTGTGTCTAATTCTACACTGCCTATATCCATCCTTCTATATTTTTTTCTTAGAGCTATTATCTAATCTCTAATACTACCGTTTTTATTGTATGACATGACAGAAAAATCTTCATCTAATCCATCTATTTCTCCTTTAAGTCTGTGTTGTTGGATGATCAAAACCGAAACCGTCACTGCGAAATCCGGTCCCGAAAGAACATCACCTATAGGTCCAAGTTCAGGACACTGTTGCCAATCATTCATCCCTCTTGTTAAAATCGAGTTCACCCCTCCTTCTCTTCCTACAATAACCAACGAGTATTGCCCTTCAAATGATTTGAGAATAGAGAATGTCTCAGAAGCATTCGCGAGATGTTTCTCCGTATACGCAATTCTTCCTCCAATCACATGCTTCTCGTAGAATTCTGCAAAACATTCATCGTCCAACTGCATTTCCTGCTCTTGATCCGGGAGGATGATTCTGTATCCAACTAATCTCGACGACTCTGCTGTTGTATCTACTAGGAATCTTATTACAGTCAGATTTACTCCTGGATGTCGCGCGACACGGCTCACATAGGCAAGTGCTTCTCTATCATCTTTCCCACCTATGAATATTACTGCCACGCTTTCCGATGCTTGACATGTTGTTAAACGTTCTAACGATCCAAATCCTCTATCGACTAGAATCCCAACAGAACAAGGCGCACTTCTTAGTACCTGTTCAAAACAATAGTATCTATTTGTCAAGTTTGTGTCTCGGAATAAGATAACTATAGTTTTTACGACATTACCTTTCGATTAACATATCTGAAACCTTGATTACCACCATCCAATGTTCGATCCTGACGTTGAAGCCGATGGAACGGTAATATGACAAGAGCAACCATCAAGTCCTCTGCTAAAACACAAATCTCTTGTGGCATATTATTAATCGTCGATAACGCCATGGTTCTTTTCAATGTAATACCTTCATTCCTATCTGAAACATGTGCTTGAAACGCGTTGGTTATTTGCTCCCTCATTTCCATTACTTCTTTGTCTTTCACAGTCGCTGTGTGGACTCCTTCATCCTTCTCTAAAAATACTGTTATTTCGTTCGTTAGTTCGATCATGTCAGCGACATACACTAGAATACCTGGATCAGCTCCGCCTTTTGTAATCTCCAGAAAGCTTATAGACGCAGGAACATTTTCAGGTCCATGAACACATAATAGGATCCGTAGTTCGCTCGATGGATCGAGTGATTGAAGCGCTAAGCGATGAGTAGGCGACCTTTTCTTTGCACGTTTTATGATAAGTGCTACAACCGACGGCAAGTATAAAACCGTGAAAAGGATTGCAAATATCATCCCAATGCCTGTTGACACAGTTGTTGCATCGCCACAACGCATCTGCAAAACACGATTTCAGTGACTTGCATTACACTCAACAAAAATGATTCGGTCAAGTATAAGGATTTACCACTTTGACAACCAAGTAGATATGCAAATGACCCTTTGCAGTAAGAAGCAATCCTATTGAAGTTGCTTCCGGCCAGTGAAATCCCTGTATTGCCCCCGAAAGAAGTGCTCCCGATATTTGTCCGACTATTGACATAACATTAAGCATAAGTATTTTTACCCATGTGTTAATATTTCTTGCTTCAAACTGCCTCAAATCAGCTTCAAACCCAACCCACAAGAAAAAAATGTAAAAGAAAATTGTATTCAACAAATAGTTGATTTTGGTAACAATCCATTTGGAAACCCTACCCTCCTTAGGAAAACAAACACCGACGATAAAAGCACTTAAAATCGGTGTAAAACCGGCTAAAACCGATGAAGAACACATTAACACGACAAACGCAATCGAAAGTATCAAATGCGGACCTTTCATAGGTCTACCATCTGGATTTTCATTATTAACCCAACTCATGAAAATCGGCGAAACTACTAATGTGAATAGGACTTCTCCCAAGACCGCGAAACCCATTCTCATCCCTTTTTTAGAATCAAAACCAAGGTGCAAATCACTGCAAATATCAGGCAGTGGAGCAAGTATGAAACAAATTGAAAGCATGCAATAGCACATGAAACCCGAGTGCATTGCAGACGCGATTACAAGCTTCCCGATATCTGATTTTCCGATTTTTAGCTGTGTTATTAAACGCGTCAACACAGGCGAATCCGTGCTCGCCATTAGGATCGAGAAAGCTAGCGAGAATTCTATTACTTTTTCAACGTTTGGAAAGTACTTCACCAAAGGAGATATCATAATCGCTAATAAGAATGTTATGCCAACTCCCGACCACGCAACCCTAACATATCTTGTTGGTTTCTGTAACAGAATATACGGATCCATTTCTATCCCTAATGCAAACATATAAGCCATCATCCCGAAATCGATTATGAATCCAAACGTCAAGTTGAATTTCTGGAATAAAGTACGTACAAATCCGATGTTTCCAACGATTACTCCTACCTGCATTCATATAATCATTACAAAGAACATGCATACATCAATGTTGTACCATAAACCCAATTCGAGATAACGAAAAACTTACGATTATATCAGAAGTGATTCGAGGTTGCGAATACGACTTAAGAAAGAAATGCAAACCATTGCACAAAACCACCATGACCATAAATAGAGAAAAGTTTTTAGCTACTCCAACAATGAGATTGGCTAGCTTGTCACCACATAGAAGAGGTGACACTGCCATTGGCAAGCGAAAAGCCATTTTGACAAACCAAAATCAATTAATCTTCTTCTTCTTCTTCTTTCACGTTTCAATTACTAACAACAACGTTTTTGTTACAAACATGTTTTTGATGTTTGTGAAATCCAATGGTTGTTATTTCTTAGCTTTGTTTAAGGAGACTATAGAGGAGCACTTTAAGGATTAAGAAAATGCTTATAAGGTGAAACTGAAGTTTTGAAATTATATGTGGAAAACATTTAACCGAAAAAAATGGATCAATCACAAATTAAAGAATGACATTGGTAGCGTGTCTCAAATCAAATATCTAGCATAACTTTTCCAATTTTTGTTTTTATATTTGAATTTTTAATTTAAACACTATATTAGCAAGTTCCATTTTAATATTTTAAAAGATTTTCTAAAATTCTATTGTCTTTCAAAAATTTTAAGAGATTATTTAAAAAAATTGATAATTAAGATTCATAATACAGATTTTTAATGAATTTATGTCAGAGAATTATACTGTTTAACTTTTAATGAATTTATGGCATAGAATTATTCAAAGTTGTTACCAAGCAAGTTAAAGTAGGTTATTGGAGGCTTATTTCTTTTGAGCAATCACCTTTTATTCAGCACACAAATATGTTTGATGGAGTGCTAATTATAATGAATTTGTTGATTATGCCTAAAGAAAGAAGAAGGTGGTTTTCCTTTTCAAAGTCAATCTTGAGAAGGCGTTTGACTCGGTTTCTTAGGACTATTTGATGTACATTTTAAATCAAATGAAATTTGGTTTCAAGTGGCTTAAGTGGATTCATGCTTGTTGTTGTACCCTAAAATTTGTCCTCCCATTTTCTTCAAGACATTCTTCTAGAGATCTCAAATATTCAAGAATCTCAAGGATTGGCCAGTCAAGATGCCCCTCCTAAGCAATTGGTCTACAACTAGGGTTTTGAGTTTCTCAAAGAAGTTTGGGTTGCAAAGGTCTCAGATGATTTCCATGGTTCTCCATAGGCCTTCAACAATGTTCATGTCAAGTTTTAAGTCTTGCATCACAAGTTTGCTCAGTCAATGGCTCAGATAATTGAAAATCAAATGTATTGGGTAAAAAGTCAACTATGGTCAACATACAGTCAAATTTCAAGATTTTTTATTATCAAATATCAAATTTTGAAGTGATATTCATCATTTGATCAAGGGTTGATCATGATTCCCCAAGGAAAGCCCTCAAATCATCAAAAGTCAAGAATTGCCAAATTAGGGTTTCCTTAAGAGAAGTCAACTGAACTTTGACAAAGCATAACTTTCACATTCTTCATCAACTTTTCCCCAACCAAAGCCCATTTTGAAGGAATGAGCTAATACATTACAAGTCATTTTCAAAAGTCAACAAAAGACACTTTTTGTCAAGGCAACTTGCATTAAGGTATAATCTCCAAATGCAAAGATAATCAGAAGAGAAGTTGTAGATGACATCTTGAGCTTTCTAAAAATTCATAGATCACCTTCAAAAGATGTAAATTGAGAGAGTTATGATTGATACAAGTTGGAAATTTTTTGAAGAATGCATGAAACTTCAATTGGACAATGTTGGATTTTTGGGCCTAACCTTTAGAGTTCAAACATGTTCATGACACCTTAGAGGATCTCTAAGTCCATTCATACTTTGCCTTGATTTTTATTTATATTTACTTTTATTTTTATTCAAATAAATACAAAGTAAATTAATTAAAATCACAAAAACAATGGTATAAGGGCTTGGGCCTTTTGGTTTCAATCATTTACAGGCCCAATACAACTCATGACAACCTAGTACAACATGCCAAAATCGTGCAAGGCTCAAGAAGGTAAGAGATATTTCAAATTTGGAAGGTTTTAAAGGTGTTTGATCCTTGTTTGATCATGGCTTGATGACATAATTCCTTTCCATGTTTAGTGAGTCATTTCCCTTCTCTATATAAGGACAAGCATATCATATGCAAAATACACGAAATCCCTGCTTGAAACAGTTTGCAAAACTTTCACATTTTACCAAAAAAACCTAAGTTCCACAATAACCGCTACCAACCTTCTCTTTCCACAATTCCAATTCCATTCATCTCCTGAAGCATCAAAGGGTAGGTCTAGATCAATCATGATGGTACTGCATGCATGAAATTACATATCATCACCTTACCGATTTCACCTTTTTATTTATAAATCATATCTTTAATCTTGCTATATTTTAATTTGATTTGATGTTCCTAATGTGATCTCGAGTGTTGTTTGAACATGTTTAGATCCCTAACATGGCCCCATGCATGTTAGTTGGCTATGAGCCATTTTTTCTCCGATCAGTGTAACTTATTTCAAAATGCATGATCCAAGAGCTTTTGGCCAAAACTAAGGCTGGAATTGGAATCAGGAGGTTTGAATTATGGGGGACGTGGTGTTTTGGGATCACTAACACTTGATTCTTGCAGGTTGACATTTGCAGGTTGTCGGAGAAGACAACCAGAGCTAGGACTTGAGCGCTTCTTCGGTAGTATACTTCATTCCATTGTTTTTGTTATTTTTATTTAGTTTATACACCAGATGTACTGACCGCTCCAGCGACAAGCGTGTGTGTGTTAAGGCGTTGGTGTGCTAGGGCTGGGGTTCGATCCCTGCCTTTGGCATGTTATTTTTCAAAGTTTCCTATTTCAGATCCAATACATGCTAGACATACACGCTCATCATGTGGGCTCACATCAACACCATCAAACCTTAATGGATGCAGATTAAACATTCCAGATTCGTGCGCTCATGATAGATCATATTGGAGAGCCCTACATGATTATGAGGATACCCCTCCCCCCAATTTACTTGTATTTCAGGCCCCATTGCATTTTCTTGTTTTTTTAAGATAATTAACCTCTTTTAAAAAATGATTTTATTTAATCAACGAAAATCATAAAAGATTTAGATTTAGTTTTTTGATTAGTTAATTTAATTTTTCATAAATAAAATTAATTTAATTTAATCATGTTTTGATTTTATTTTTTTAAACTAATTTGTGAATCATTTAGAATTAGGGTTTTACACTCAAAATATGTTTCTAAACAAAAACACCAAAAATATTTTTCTTAAACGCTTAGAATTTTTTTAGGGTTTTTAACATCTTTCCCTTTTTAATCTCCGCGCGCCTATTTATTTTTCGCATTATTACAAATATTGTAACTGCTAATGGTATATAATAGCTTTAAACTAGGATTTCTTTACTTTTCCCCCCATTTTTTTAGTTTGTAACTCCCCATCCCCGAAGCACTGTAATAGCATATATTCTATTTCCCGCATTTTTACTTTCCGCACTTATGTATGAACGTATGTATATATATGACTGCTAGTTTAATAGGATTATATGGAAAAGACTAAAACCAAACGCTAGACAATCATAAATCCAAGACTAAAATAATTGAATCTCAACACATTTTACGCACACATACCTCTAGGGTGACCCTCACTTGTTGCCTCAGATATAAACAATCATGTCCCTCGAACGTGGGATGCTTTAGCAAAGACCCTTCGATTAAAAATATCGTAGTCCCTCGATAACCCTTCGATGATGCCTTGGTAAACGATCTTAGTCCCTTATAATAATTGCTAAAGCATCTTATGAGTTGCCTTTGTGACTATAAGATGACCCACGCTTGTCCCTCAAGCATCCAATGATTGGGTTACCTACTAATTCATGGTAGAATAGCACAATCTAAAGGAAGAGGAAAATAACACGAAAGACTTCTTGAGTAGGTAGATATCTCATAGTCGCTTGCTCACAAATAAAAAAATTTCTCACACATACACTCTTTTCTAAAATATTTTCAAAAACAAACACTTTGTATGCATTCTCAACGATACGAGAATTATTACAAAGTTTGTCGCACTTAGGTGTTGTACCCAAAAATTTGCCCTCCCATTTTACTCAAGCCATGCTCATTGAGGTCCTCAATTGCTCAAGGTTGACCAAGAATTGATTAGACAAATTCTCCTCCTAAGCAATGAACCTCTAATTAGGGTTTCACTTTTCACCAAGACGTGTGAGCTCCAAAAGTCTCCAATGTTTTCCATAGTCTTAATATGTCTTCAAGATTTTCCATGACAAATTTCATGCCTTACACTACAAGTTTACTCAGTCAGTTGCTCAAATGTTTGAAAATCAACTGTACTAGGTCAAAAGTCAATTGTGACCCATATACAGTCAAACTTCAAGATTTTTGGTCAACATCTTGAAGTGATATTCATCATTTGATCAAAGGTTGATCATGATTCCTCAAGGAATGCCCTTAATTCATCAAACATCAAGATTTTCTAAATTAAGGTTTCCTAGGAAAAGTCAACTAAACTTTGACCAAGCATAACTTTCACATACTTCATCCATTTCCCTCCAAACAAAGCTCATTGTGAAGAAAATCCAATTCCATACAAATTTTCTTTTTCTCTCAAGTCCAAGAAATGCATCATTTGGAAGATATATTCTCATACATTACAGGTCACTTTCATAAAGTCAATAAAAGACATTTTTTACCAAGACCATTTACATCAAGATAAATTCTTCAAATGTAAAAAAGGTCAACATAGAGATTGTAGAGGACATCTTGGGATTTCCAAAAAGTCTAAGATGACCCTCAAAAGATGAAAATTGAGTAAGTTATGACCAGAGCAAGTTAGGAAATTTTGGTGAAATGCATGAATTTCAAGTTGAAGGAGGCCACACGCCTCAAATGAAAGATGCATGCAGAAGGTTTAAATTCCTAAACGAAGCTTGCAACAAAGGAGGGCCACATGCCCCGAACGAAAGAGGCATGCAGGAGGAAAAATGTGCAATCGAAGGAGACCAGAAAAGAGGCCTTTGCCTCCTGAATCGAAGGACATCAATCAGGAGGCTTTTTGCCTTGTGAATTGAAGCTAGTTGAAGATAAGTGTTGCCCTGTCAAAGTTTGCAACAAGTTGTTTCAAAGGGAGACTTTGGCCTTGTGCATGCTGGCATGGTGGGAAATTCTGCCTTGTGAATTTGGCAAACA